ACGGAGGCGAGCTCGGCCGGGAGCTGAGCAGAGAAAAACATTAATTTTAGGGAGAATTTAGGAGAGAAGACGTGGCTCTTAGCTGACTCTGTGGAGTGAAGGAACATTATTAATTCCGGCTCGTAGGCCTGAACTTTGCCACCGAGTGCGGGTTTTAACGGCGAACCAAAGACCCGCACAGAGTAGCGTCAATTTGCATTCTCCGCATAGTGCCTTCTCGGGCCATTCAAGCCTCGTTACGGCCGCCCCCGGCGCCCGTGTTGTCCTCGACTGTCTCTGAGCCGCCGCTTTGACGACTCCGAGCCGCCCCATGCCGCAGCTAAGAAGAACCAAACGGTGAGTCGGTGACCTTACCACCGCCCGTCGTCAACGCACGTCGCCGCCAGCCTCGCCAGAGCGAAGGTGAATCACGAGACGAGGACAGCCATTCGACGTGTTCTGCGGAGGCGCCGACAACACAGCGGTGATAACCCGGTATTTAACCGAAGATGAACTCTCTCTCCGTAAATTTTACCTTTTAGGACGAGATTTTACTGCTTTTAATTATTCTTAAATAATATTTACATTCTAACTATTAGTAAACAAAAATTGAGAAAATTTGAAAAATGTACTTGGGCGACGATGGGTGGCAGTAGGCAAGAGTATAGCGAGACCAAAGGAAATAGAAAACTAATACGGGAAAGTCTATACCATTTCTGTAGCAACATAGCTTCGTAACGAAATGTGTCATTCTTCATGTGAACATCTTCGAATAAGGTCATGTTGAATTTTTTGAAAATATGAGTTATTTTGTTGTGTAATTTGGCGACAATATAGTCGCCTCTCCAAATTTACTGCTCTTCGCAACACATACGTTGAGAGGTGTTTGGGAAGTATTGAAGGAAGGCAATAATTAAACTTAGAACTAACAAATTATTTTCTTTACTTCAAGAAATTTTGAGTGCTGATTGTGGTACGTTTCTTTTTTTAAAAGTTAAAAATGACTAGTGTTCTGGATATGCAATAACGCAGATATGTACTACAAGCGCTTAAGTTTGAATTGATTGGGTTTGGGTTTGTCGTCTCTTATATTATTTCAGTAGTATACCATACGTTGGCGGTCTCACATGCAAACGATATTTATAAACGAGGTCATTAAAGAAAGAGAATTTCAGAAGGACGTGAAAATTGCAATTTGACTCTAAATTTATGACGGATATTTTTTTAAGCATTCAATATATTCATGCCAAATACAACACGCAGCACTCGGGTCAGCTATACCATTAATAACCTCCAAAAGCAAAACGTTCTAGGGCCTAAAAACTACAATTTTGAGGCCATGGCCTCAAAGAATCTTGTTTCACACCGTAATGTACTCGTATCGGATAAGGTATTCTTGGACATTCTATTCAATTTTTGTTGGTTCGGCACTTATCGCTACTATTAATGCCACCTAGATTTCAATCCCTGATGATGGCCATCTTTGTGACGTCATGCGTAGAAGGCTTTGATTCCTCTATCTTATACTATTTATGCTTCGTGCGTAGTAGTAGTAGCTTGATATAGATGAAGATTAGTTTCATATGCGTGTAGTAAAAATATTCGTTTAACGTTTTTTCGCAGCCTACAAGTACTGTGTACCTAATTGTGGAGGGATGTGTGTCTTCAGTGAAGAATGAAGACGTATGTTAGGTTTGGTTTGTGTTTTATCTGTACCAGTATTTTTGTTATCACCAGTGATTTGGTGAAACTTTCAAATCAGCGAGTTCAGCTTTCTCGAGTAAAAAGCTTTTTTTTAATAATTTTGTGACTATCACGATAAGCTTACTGTCAAAGAATATTGAATAATTACTTCAAATATTTTTAAGGAAGTGTTGTAAGTTCTTCCAAGAAATCTCTCAATAATACTGAATAAATCTTTATTGAAAATTTCTTTTCAACATCAATTGCAATGTTTGTTATTTTTATTTTATATTGTGTTAGTAAATAAGAAGTTACCTTTATACATTTCTAAACCAATAAATACGTTTCATTGACAGCTTTCCCTCTTAAAATAGATGGATAGAGAAGATTGTGGGGTTTAACACGTCAGAGTTCTCGCACGGGTGCATGGAGGTAAGGAGAAAAGTTGTGCTACGGCACTACACAAAGAACAATTTCTTAAATTAACTAAAGAAAAATAGCTTGAAAGAAATTAACAACAAAAATCAAAACGCGCTTGCCATACAATACAACGTGAATTAATTTAAAAAAGCAACCAAATTTAAAATCATAGAAAGAATAGCGCAAGTTAACTCTACAACTGCAAACGATCACAATCCAGACGCACGATTTAAATGACGGCGGTATCTAGAAGTCTGTACATCAATGCCCAACTGTAAACTCATATTGTAAATAATACACCGTTTGTTATTAAACTTAGGATGTTGGTGCGATAAAATATTAAATACGAAAACATCGTTTGAGCAAAATTACCATGTACCGAAGTTAAGTCTAAGCCATCTAAATTGTTTCTAATGGGAAAAAATGGTATTTATTACTCAAAGATGAAAGTATTATTTTTGGGCACAGAATTGCTTTTCTGGTGGTACGTAAGAACGCAGAAAATAATTCAATACTTTTTAGTGTACAAATAATTTTTCAATTTTCGCACCCCATCAAGTGGCGCCCTGCCTCTCGAAAACCCCCTCGTTTTTTTTGTGGTCTGCCCACCACTAGGCTCTACCACTTTTGTTTTTTTAAATCTTAGGTATTTACACAAGGGATTTTACGTAGGTATTTACACAAGGGATTTACCGGAGAATGGGAGAGGATGTAGAGTAGAAATGAAAAATTGGAAGTTGTTTTTTTGCAGGGTGGGCTATTGTTTGTTTTTTATTGATTTAGTTGTATGGAACTTATTTTATTTTATTGAGGCTGTAAAAGAAAGGTTTCTTATTAGAGGGTATGTGGGGAAGATGGGTTATTTTATTTCAGGTTGACGATTTTTGAGTTTATTTTATTGATGAGACTATTGTGGTGATGATGGACTGGTGGCTTCTTTGAGGGGTGATTGTTGCTGCTGGTTTTTGGGTTGTTGCTTTGCGAGCGCTATGGATTTGGAGATGGGATTGAGAGGGCGAAGATATCGAGTGGATGTTTTTTTCTATTGTGAGGAATTTATCTTTTACGGAAGGAAAGGTGCGGTATGAGGAACTTTTTGGGAGGGGTTGGCTATTGCTCTTTGTATTCTATTTTTTGCTGCTGCGTGAACTTCTGTCTTTAGTGATGTAATGTCGTTGTCTCTTTTAATTTCCAAGTAACATTCGTCTGGTTTTGGTTTAAATATTAGTCTAACTATTCTATTGTCTTATCTTGTTAGTCTCAGATAGTTGCTCTAGAATGTCGTTGCCCAGGTCTCGCAGGAGTAGGTCACTTGATTGATGTGTATGTTGTAGATGTATAGTTTTGTCCTCTTGTCAATGTTTTTTATGAATAAAACGCGACATCAGTGCGTTTATAAGTCGTTTTTTGTCTTTTTGGTAACATGTGTGGTCCATAGTAATTTTAAATTAATAATGAGTCCTAAGTAATTAACATATTTTGTTCATGGAATGTCGATATTATTTATAATTAAGGGTGGTTCGTTGATGGGAGTGCGTCTATTTTTCCACGTGAAGATGGTTGCCCGACATTTACAGGGATTGATGATTAAACTGTTGTCATTGGCCTAGTTTGTCACTTGTAGTGCAGTGCGTCGTGGTCTGTCACATGCTCGTTTTTTGTCTTTGTCACGTAAGCCAGGTCGTTTGCGTAAAGGAATTCGTCGACATTTGGTGGAACAGGTGTACGGCATCATTAATCAAGGTGGAAAACAGTGCTGAGGAAAGGACGGCACTCCGGGGGACGCCGACGAGGATTGGGGGTGGAGTAGATAGGCAGGTTTAGAAAAGGAGTTAGTTTAGAAAAAGTTAGAAAAGGACCTGAAGGAAGCCCTGGGAAAGTAACTTTCGAGAAGGGAGAACAAGAAATTGGGAATATAGGGTCTAAGTTTAAGAAGAAGGTCATGGTTTACGGAGACAAAGGCGTTAGAGAAGTCTGTCAGTAAACATAGGGTTTGTCGTTGTCTTTTTTGGAGTGTCTCGTCTACGTTTATCGTCAGTTTGGAGGCGTGCTGATTTATTTTCGGTGAATCCGAATTGTGTCTTGAATTGTTTGTCAAAAGCGGTGTCAGTCACCGGTGTATGATTCGTTCCAATATTTTGCTTGTCGTCGGTATCAGGCTTATTGATCTGTAACTATTGATGTCTTCCTCTTCCTGTTCCTCTTAACAAATCCAGAAAATTTAAATATGATATTGCAAAGAGTAGGGTTGTACTTGCCCGATCCTGTATTTTCTTGTGGAAAACTTTACTTGGCTTTCTCAAGAGTAAACTCTTTTTCTAATAAGTTTAGTGACTATCAAGGAAAGCGAAAATCTAACTGACAGGGAAAATTGAATAATTGCTTTAAATATTTCTAATGAAGTGTGAATTGTTCGAAGAACATATCTCTATAACAGAGGACCGCCAAGTAGCATCTCTGCGTAAGCATGTCCTACTACGCGCCCCTGCGTCACTACTCAGCGGCCAGAATCGGTAAGGGTTTGAGATACTTCACAGGGGTTGAACTAGCCCCTGTGAAGCGTGTAAACTCGTTCAGTCGCTACAATTTTCACAATTTTTAAGGTTGTACGGGGATTTAACGGGAATCGAGCCCTGAACCTCAGTGGTGAAAGGCAAGACCACTTCCCCACTGAGCCACGACAGCATTGTTGACATCGTGTAACTATGTACACGCTATATTGTTGCCCACACCATCTCTTGGATGATACTTGTTCTCTGCGGATTTCGATTTAGTTGCTTTTCTAATATTATTACGTCGATTTACCGCGTGCACAGCTGCTCATCAGCGTTTAGATTGTCCGCCATTTTGCCAAAAAAGATTCAGGTCTTTCTCAGCGCCGTGGGCGAGAACTGTCAGAACTAACCCAAAATGCTTAAGCTTTACTGAGAGGTGACACACCTCCGCTTATATTGTGACGACAGCACAGCGACCTGTCAAAAATCAGCAAAGCCGGGTGTTTGGCTAGCAATTTCGTTATGATACGAATATAAGAACATGTGACTGATAACTCGTTTCGTGCCTTGTCAACCATGGATATCTTGCGTCAGAAGATTAGGATTAATTAATATCAAATGAAAAGACTGCGTTTGTATACTTTTTGACAAATAACTTGCTTCTGAGAATTGACTGATATTCAAGTCTAAAAGGAACGCTCTTTGTTGCTGCAGATTATTTGCAATTTTCTTCGAAATCCGTAAAAATGGAAGACGAAGAACATGAAGATTTATTAATTCGTGCGAGTAGTGACAACGAAGATTTTACAGACAATGAAGATGCTTTCGCTTCTTCGAGGCGAAGTTATCTGCAACACGAAAATTTGTCCAGCTTGTGTTTCGAGCGTATAAAATTTATTTGTTTAGGAATTGTACTCGTCTTGTCTTCAACTGCCCTTTTAATTCTCCTTCCTCTTTATTTGGAGACAGTCAATGTTTACAGTGATGCATATACAATGCTGGTGTTTATTTGTTTTGTTACCACTGTCATTATACTTCTTATGGGCTGTTTATTGGGAAGATTACTGAATCAATTGAAAGTTATGTTGTCAATTCCTTTCTCCTTGTCCAGAGTCTATCGCTTTGGTTTGGCGTATGGTCTCGGTGGATTTTTACTTTTGTATGCCGTGGACCGAAAAAGAGTGATGTGTCATCTTCAGGATCCAATTAAAGGGATTGTTTTAGTATTTTCTCTTGTGTACTATTTTTTCTTCTGCAAAAAAAGTAAGAATATTTTTATTAATGTGAAGTGAAATTTGTTTTGTTTTTAATTTACTAGACAGTATGTCCTTGTTGCAGTGATGGGCCTCCAACAAATATTTTGTTCCACAACCATCGTTGTTGGTTTGTTTGTCAGTGTAGACTATGGTTTATGTGATGAATTTAGATGTCGAGGAAATGAACGAGAACATCGAAGTGAAGATGCTGGTTCATGGAGTTGGCAAGTGCATTCCCTGTGGACAGTGCTTTACATTGTGGCTCTTGCTCTCTGGACCCTCCACAGCACACTTCTTGAGGGTTTCTTGGTGATGCAGCAAGTGAGTAACTTGTAGAACTTTAAAAATCTAGTGCAAAGTTTGCTTGGACACATGTGGATGGCTCAAACATAATTACTTTACATGCTTTTAGTAGTAATCAGTTCTATGTGTGTATTTCTATTTTCTTAAGTCTGTACATTTTCTATTTTAGAGGAATGTCTGTTTCTTAGTCTTGTTCTTTCTATCATGGGATTTTCTACTCAGTCTTTGTCACTTGGCAAGAATAAAATACAGAGCATGCTACTCCTTTCTTACTATTCTTAATTTGCTTATGTGCCAGTCTATATGTCTTCTGTTGTTTGACTTCTGTATACTTTAGTAGCCTCCTAACTTCTGCCTTTTTAGGGAATTCTCTACATGGGTCCTGGGAGCTCTTTATTAAGCACTGTTTCACGCTTGGTCTCCACTCGTGATAGTAGTTCTTCCACCGTCCGACATTCACGTCCATTATTACAGGCCACTGAGGAGGACGGGGACTTCTCCTCTTTGCCACAGAGTCAGTCAGAGCGAAACACTGCAGTACTCGACCAGCATAGGCAGGTTGCCTATATGAAACCTCTTGTTATCACAGGATCCAGACCATCTGCAATATCAATTGCTCTGTGGATACATATTGTCTCGCTTCAGTTGCTTATTGCTTTGTGTTGGACTGACATGATACCCTCATTTGGGAAGGTACTGTAAGTTGAAATTATTTGTATTATTTGGTTTTGAGGAAGTAATTTCTATGGAAAATATAATAATTTTCAGGGTTCTTCTGCCTCTGAATTTTGGTCATTTTTTACATCTGGATTTTTGTGTCATTTTGGAGTACAGTCTAATAATGCTCACAATGGCACAAATATGATTTCATTAGAAACTGAGACGTGTAAACAAATGGCATTGTATGCTTGGCCTTTCATAATATCATACACGATATTTTCTCTCTCATTTGTGCAATTTTTGATAATTAGTGAATCATCAGTTTTCACTGTGGCCATGACTACCGCTGCATTGCCTCTCGGCAGCATTTGGTGGTCCATCTTTAGAATGGCTCCTCTTGAGAGTACCAACCTACAAAGTAAGTATTCTTTTTAAAGAAAGATTTTCAAATTTGAGTTGCGAGTAAGCAAGATTTGAATCTAGCTTAGAAAAGTTTTACGTACAGTTTTTAAGAATACAAATAAATATTGAAGATCATAAAGATATAAGAGATTAACCAGGGAAAGAAAACTTTTCCTTCATTAAATTGATTTGAAATAATATAGATTCAATTGTTTAATAAGTTCACAAATCTAAAATGTTTAAATTGAAAATTTGATTAAGTGAAAATAATTTTCAATTTATATTTTGTCATCACCTTCTTCACTTGTGTATTTAACATCCAAATGCACATATTTCCTGCTTCATTTGTTCGCCAGACCCTATTCTGTTTCAAACCAATGCTTTTTCACTCTCTAACTACACTTTTATTCCACACACTTCAGAGTTCAATAGGCCTAAAAAAAAACTATTAAAAAAATTGGAAATTTTGTAATAAAAAAAATGAATATATATGTATACAAATTATTAATTAGTTCCTGTAAAGAAATAAAAATAAAATAAATTTTATAAACATTCTAGAGTTAAAAACAAATGTATTCTGAGATCGACATTTTCATTCTCATGTATTACCTTTTGAACTTGTTGAGTGCTTTACAAAATTCGTCACAACGTTCTGATTGGCTGATTGAAATGGTCTCTTTTCTTATACCTGATGTTTGACTTACTTGAGTGCAAACTTTCAATTTTGAGTGACAAATTGAGGTTACCTTTTGTACAAATTGTACAGGTAAAATATCATTTAGTAAAATAAAAAGATTTTAAAACTTGCATCAAGCTTCTATAGGACAAGTCAAACTTAATTCACTAACAATAATGTTTAGTCAATATGTTAAGCTCTGTAGTCTTGCATCAATACTATTTCTGATTTTGTGGACAAAAAATCACCCAAATTGCAGTGTTAGATTGCTTTGTTTTTATTTATGATAAATATAGTTTGTATATGATATATAAATTCATTTGGAATCTGTGACAATATTTCTCTAGGAAATTTTGTAAATGCTGTTACTCAAATTTTTTTAAAGGAATGTTAGCAGAAACATTGCAGACTATTTTTGTTGGAAAACAATTATTTAAGATTGTTACTTATTTTATGAAGGTTTAGGCTTCAGTGTGAGGCTTTCTTTCTGAGAAAGTTGCAAGTAAACTGTAAATAAAATTTCAAAATAATTGAACATTTTATAAATGTAAATAATTTTTTCTATTAGATCTCCTGCAGTGGTCACCATCTGTTACTGGTGAACTTATTTGTTCAATATTGGGGCTGCCCGTGGTTGTGGTGGGACTTGCAATTTTATATAAATCGCATTTTCAAGATAATGTGTTGGGAAAACCTATAGGAAGACTTCCAACAACAGGTGTTGCATGATCGAAACCTTCGTAAGTATCTTCTCTGAAACATATTACCATTTAAGCTTTCATTTAAAATTGCATGACTTAATTATAACTTATCAAATGCGAGACTTGAGCTAACTTTTTATGAGTCAAGATGTAGTTTTGACAGTTTGTGTTCTAATACATACTGTAATTTATTTGAAATATCAATGCCAGTTAAAACATCTTGTTGAATTTTATTTTTGGATAATTATCTTTCTTATGTTACAAATATTAAAAATGAAGATTTATATAAATGCTGAAAGGAAGAGCCATCAGAAGAAGTGTAAAACAATACAAAATAATTTTCAAACTTTATCTTCAGGGTACTTCTGCTCATTTTAATCTTAAACAATCCTGAAAAATTCAGTAAGTTGTGCAGGTGTTAGTAAAAAGTGCTGACAACTTTTATTTTCATAAGAATGCAGATCAGGCAAGAAATTTAAAATAAACCATATGCGGTATATGATAACATATTTAACATGAACGATTGAGGTTTTTCTATGTCTTTTCTCTAACCAGATAAAATCTCCATGTTCAAAATTCATGTTCAGTATATGTCAAACTTTAATGAAAATTATGACCTTCCTCTTGGATATTTTATAGGGTGCCTGATCGACATTAAATTGGGGGGATTTACAATGCCTTTTGTAGTAACCCATATAGTTTAGAATGAGAAAAATGGTTTGGCAAGTATCTTGGATGTTTTATTAATGGTACTACTGAACAACTTTTTATAGTTCATTAATTATCTTCAAAATTAATGAAACTTCCTTCAAAATATTTATTAACACCTTAATTGAATTGTTTATTTCAGAAACCCGTCAAACGCCAAATTCCTCATTTTGAAAAACCTCAGAAAAAATCTCCCAATTTTTCCATTTCCAAAATATTTTTATTTTTTAAAGCAGTTGATAAATGAATATTTGTCATATAAATATGCACTAATTGCTCTGTCTATCCTCTGGAAACAATAATCCACTGCTAATGCGTGTTTTAGATTTTGGCATTTCTCGTATTTCTGAAATAAACAATTCAATTGTGTAGAGGGAATTTATGCAAGTCACATTTTGTGATAACATGTTTGTAGATGTCAATTATTTGTTAATTGAGGGGTGGGAAGTGCTTGGGAAATTCACTATTTGTGTGTACTGTAATTGACGACTCTTGGGATTCTACATAAGTAAACTCAAAATGAAATCGTCAGAAATGAATCAAAAGACACATAAAGCTTTCATGGAGAATGAAGTAGGTATTTATCAAACATTTATTGTGCAAAAGTCAAGTGATTGCAAATTTGCAAATCCTTGCACTGCTAGTCATCTGATTTCCTTTTCTATTTTGTAAAAAAACAAATTAGATTGAATTTCTGAATTGTCCATTATATTATGTTATCCCTGATGTAAAACAGTAAATTATGCTTTTCTTGAATGATGTCACAATGCAGAAAACTTCTTTTGTTCAAGAGAGAATAATTTTGTTTTCCCACAACTTCATTTGCTTCCTATTAATTAAGGTACAGTAATATTGCCTAGAAAATTTATATCAATAAATTACTTATTTCTCTTTGTTCTTGAAACTGTTAAAATGGAATTTTTAAACTGAAGTTTCTAGTTATTTTGGAAAGTATTGGTGCTTTTCAATTGGCAACGTTACTTTATTTGTAGACCAGTCAAGAACTTAGAGCTTGCCCTGGCTGGGGTGTTGCTCTGATGGTGGAAATACCTCGAGGAGGGTTTCACAGGGGGCAAGAACACCACCACCTCCCAGCTATAACATGTACTACGTTCACTTTATTAGTCATGTGTCCTGCCGAGCAAGAGGAGAAGTTGCTGGGGAACAAAATAAATTAGCAGAGAACGCTCTGATAGGTCGAAGTGATCTGGCAGTTGTAATAAGGGGGTAATATATTCAAAATCCCATTATATAAGGCCTTTGAGATCCTTGCTATACCATTCCTCAAGAACCATTTAAAGTTCAAATAAGAGTTTAGTAAGATGTATAAAGTGAATACCCATGGTCCTGTGGAAGGGAAGTTGTTCACTGGTATGAATTGAAGCTGTTTAAAATTTCTTTTATTTTCTTTGCAGTTGTTTGGTAATTGATTTTTCGCTTTTCTTGGTGATAGAAAATTGTATTCTTATAAGAGAAATAATGTTATGGTGAATGACTTGTTTCAAGACTGAGCACCTCTTGGATGATCAAAATAGAAAACCCTTGCCAAGACCCAAGTTTTGTTCGGTTTACTGTATTTAATTAAATGACCCTAAAATTTATAGTAAAACTAGTCAGTTAAGATATTCATTTTTATTATTATTAGAGTCGTACAATTTTGGCACTGGATGAATTGGGCATCTTCAGTGGTTAGAATCAGATTATTGATCTGGTTCAGACTGGGCTGAACAAAACTCGAAACGTCAAAACAAAAGCAATTAGCTCAAGTTCTCCAAGATGCTAAACTGCACTACTATTTGCAGTTTACCAAGTTTTTGCTATATCTATATATTTGAATCTACACATTTTACATAGGAAAATTGGAAGAGGGGTGGTCTAAGTAAAAGTAAATATAATATTTATGGAGGTTTTGTTGTGTCTAATCTAAGTTATACCTAAGATATTTTAGGTAACCAAAGGTATATAAAAAATTGTTTCAATGTGAACTTTGTGAAAATATCATTTTCTATTGTATGGGTATATTGTTGAAGGAAATTTATGGCTATATCCAAAATCTGTATTGCATTTTATCAACTTGATTACTTCTTGTATAAGGAAACAATGAAAAAAATGAACAGAAAATCTAGTAGATATAATTGCTTTTAAAAAGATCATTTTAATAGTAGAGTATTGCCTATCATTCAGTATTATGATATGCATTTTATGCAAATGCTCATAGAGTTAATGTAATGTATTTTGTAGATGTCTTTTAATGAAAAAATACACTGTAACCTATCTCTTGATGTGAAAGTGTAGAATTTAGTTATTTATAAGAAATTCAAAAAAATATAATGTAATTTTGCTCTTTCCTTTAGAAAATGTTAAAATTAGTAGTGAACATTTTTATGGCATGTGAAACTATTGAAATGATGAATTGCATTTTATTATGTGCATTGGTTTTACTCATTGGGTACTCAATGTGTAAACATTTCTTGCCAACAATAATGATGTTAGTACTACGAAAGGATTTGATGTTGTTAATTAACTAATTATTGAATGTTAAAAAATAATATGATGTCAATGGTGCTTACAAATTTCTTAAAACTACTAGGTTCTGTCTTCTTTTATTCCCAAAGTTAATATTATTTTGCTCACAATTCACAAAATTTTGCAAAACCTTCATTAAAATGGAAAGAGATTGGCATTAGTAAAATACATTTTTTTAATTCTAAGTGTTGCATGCTAATCATTAGCTAGTATAAATGAATAATGCACTTGTAAGTTTGGGTATAGTAGAACATCCAAATTCTCTAATCCTACTGGAAATTTTGATGGATTCAATGAAATCTGTACAAGTACCTATACATATTTTGAATTTTTTATTTTCCATTTTATCTATGAAGTGTTCATATGAAAGAGTTTGCCTACTTACATTACTGTACTCAAATAATATGCATATTGAATTGTTAAATATTACATTATAAATATTAAATTATATTCGAATGATTGAACTAAAGACTGGAGAGATCCTCCGAACTTGGATTAAGAAAAGGGTAGAGAAGAAGCAGGAGCAGAATACAAAAGGGAAGAAGAATTAGAATTTTATAATATGTATTGTTGTGACAATGGGACCAAAGTTAGGTCTTATTGTCCATAAACCCAGTGACCATGTTTAGAGGCCACATGTTGTAAACAATTAAAAGAAAGTAAAGCAAACAAACCAATATCTTCAGCAAAATTATCCTCATTATTTTTCTTGATCTTAAGACTTAAGATGTATTCAACAGTGCTCTACCCTGGGGATTTTATTGAAGTATTTTTATAGTCAAATACATATAAAAATAGTATGATTGACACTAATGCTATTAATAATTTAACACTTGGATTTCCTTGTATTGTTTAGTCCATGTACAAATTTTCAAAAAATATTTTATTTTTCATATAATACTGGAATGCAATGTTTGGCGTAATATTTATATGCATCGACAGGGGAGAACAAAAAATTAAAATTATGTCTGAAACTGAAACCAAATTTTGATGATTTGTTTAAAATGAAAGTATTGAAAATAAAAATGCACAGTAATCACAGATGAAATTGTGGTATATAACAAGTATAAGTTAAAATTATGTAGTAAGTACAAAATATACATAAATACATGGGAGAAAACTTACTAAAACATGTTAAGATTAATAAAAAATTATTAAAAATTGAAATGATGAATCCAAAATAAACACAAATAAGGAAAAACTTTGCCATTGTAAATGTTCACATTGTGTCTTCAAGGAAGAAGAGGACAAGTCTGAATTGAGAGGGAGCAGATAAACGTAAAAAATAATCTTTATAATTTTAAAAAGACAACAGTGAAATCAGGTAAAAAATATAATGAAAACAAGAATAAATAGAGGTGGAAAGGGGGAAGAAACAAATAAAAATCACTTAAAAAATAAAGGTAAATGGAATATATTTCAAAGTATAAACAAGTTTTAGGATATTCATATTTTAGACTGAACATTGTCATTAAGTTTTGTGAATAAATTCAACTCAAACACGGTATTGTGTGTCTGTACATGTGATGTCTCCAAGATTAATCTTCAATATTACCTGGTTCGTTATCCAAAATGGTAGCGCTGTCAAAATTAAAAGAATGAACAAAATGATGTCGATGTTGAGAATTTGAGTTTAATTTTGGGCCAGTCTCCTTAATATTATTATCATGTTCTTTTATTCTTTGTTTGTGTGCATATTTTGTTTTCATTTTATCCTTGATATTCCGAATTAGATTTTATTTGAGGAACTATGTATTCCTAATTCTTATGTCGAATTTTAAATTAGAAATAATTATTAAACTATTTATTCTTGGACCATATGGTATGGTGATAGTGTGGCTTTGTTAGGAGTTTTACATAACAAATCCATGGTCAGACTAACAAATGTTTGTATATTATTATTATTCTTTTAAATAACCACGTGTTTTGTGATTTAAAATTAGAATTGTAGTTTTCAGTGAGGATACAACATACAATGTTCAAATACGTGGCATGATGTTTGTGATGGAAAAGATTAATTGCTCTTAAAGACCACACCAATATTCTTATGAAGGGAGTAAATTGAAAAAATGTTAGTGTGCGACTAGTGGCACAATATTTTTTAAACCGATTGGTTTTGAGCAACTGATATGAGCAGTGTTAAGTATGATACAAATGTCTAAATAATGTAACACCATTGATTGACCTCTTTTTTGTGAACTGAATAGATGTTACAGAAGTTGATTGTTTATAGAAAATTTGGAATTTCATTGACTTATGGATAAACAAATGGACATCATCATATCTTTTGCAATTTAAGGGCATTAAGGGTTGGTGAGAGAGATTTGTTTAATCTTTGCCAAACAATTTCTGCAAAACGAAATTGAGAGAGCCACCGATTGGAGTACCTGTTACCTGATAGATAACACCATCACATTGTTACCACCATTGGCAGAATTTTTTGCTTATATTTGTTTTAAATTATCATTTCATCTCTAATTACTGCGTATTTTTATTTTTAATACTTTCATTCTAAACAATATCACCAAAATTTGCTTTTAGTTTCATAATTTATAAATTGTCAAAATAGTCTCACGTTTACTAATTATCTTTAAAATGATGAAGAAATTTATTTTTACCTGTATGAAGCTATTGAAAATGAGGTAATAAATGAAGTTTAACCTAAGAAACTATAAAAAATAACTTAATATTTTGCTATCTACTTATGTTATTGCCCTCCACAGTTCAGAAAACCATGTGTACTATAAGATGAAATTACCCTAGAACAGTACATTAATATCAAAATGAATTTCTTTATAGAGGGCCAGGGATACAAATTGTTATTACTATAAATTGCTATAACAAATTGTTGTTACTATGTTGTTTCAATCATCACCTAAAAATCTTATTTCCAGGAAGCATTTGTTCTCAGAAAGTGGTTCGTTCATTCAATGTTCTCTAAGTGAACAATTATCATAACTACATATTGACATTAACATTACCTTCCTTAAAGACCTGAACTATTCTTCTCATTTCTATACTTTTAAAGTTTCCAGCGGGTTATGATTCGACCATCCAGATAATATAAATACATGTGAAATGTCCACTGCCGATAGAAATAGAATAGGTTATTATGGTCACAGAGTTTGTTAGAGGAGACAAAGGAGAAAACTTGGACAGCGTGAATACAAGTTGATATATGCGACTCATACTGAAGTAACCTGTATTGATAATTCGATTGTAGGTATAACGAGGGAGATTTTAGTGTGTTCATTCGGTCAAGTTGTTAAAACTTGAAACCAAATAGTTTGGAGGCATACATTACTGATACTCAAACTGTGGTTTTTTGTTCAATGGTCTAATTTATATTTAGTTTTTTAAATACAAGATCAATGTTTATTCGTTAAAGTGCCTTTATCTTTTCCTTTTCAATGTTCTTTTATTTTCTCTCCTCCCCCAAAAAATAATGTTAATTTATAAATTAGGATATTCTTACTAGGGTTTGTTCTGTCATCCTGCTCCATTTACTGAATGAATGCATTCAGGGTCACCTTAATGTGTTTTATTTTGTATAAGCCAAATTGTGATTATAGGTTTTGTTTCTTTCTAGTTTATGGAAGTAAGATGATGTGTTAATTCATTGTTTTTTAGAGCACTGTTGAAGTAATTATTCAGTACCCAATAATTTAATAATAATTAACTCTTGTGCATTTGCTTAACAGTTTTAATTGTGTTTACAAGTGGCTCTTGTAAAAGTGGCTGATAGTCTGAAACTGTGTTGGTAAACATAAAACATAAATAAATATTTAATTAACAAATTTGTTCTCTGGTAATAGTTTGCACTAAAATACATTTGACAGATATAATGTAATCTTCACAATGTATTAACTAAGTGGGTGTTCTTTATGGTAAATGTTTACACTTGTATTTTTTCTTAGATGTATGTGCCAAACTCACTACTCTAACACAATTTGCTTGGTAGCAAAATATGTGCCAATTGAATAGATTTAAAATGTGTAATAGTAGAGAGCTTTCAGTTAGGTGAAGTTTGTGCCACTTTTTTAATGATATAAAAAGTTTGTCTTTGGGTATTAAATATTGACTGTCTCCATGCAAGTGTTGAAAATGTTACAATAATAATAAATTACTAGATATATTCATGAGTAAGTGTAAGAAGTCTGAATCATTCAAGCTCTAGATGTTTTTCATTAAACAGCATTGTCTGTGCCAAATGTGTAACACTTGATGTTAGTTCAAAATGAACCAACTCACCGTATGATAAAACATGGCTGCAAGCACCTCCAAGTGGTAGTTAATTGTTTTGCACGAGTTTTTAAGTAGTATGTAATACTCATTAGAACCAACTATGAGATCTGTTGGTAATCTTGTTGCATGATGTACACTGTTAAAGCAAGTGGTAGCTCTTGTAACTTGCAATGTTCCTATTTGTTAAACTTTTGAGTGAACAACTTCAGTGATTACGGATACTGTGATTTTGCTCAGAAATTTTGCAGAGATAAAGATCTTCTGTGAATGCATTTGTACTATAGTTGTTGCTTTTTAAGCTAAAACAAGAATAAATAAGAAAAATCATGAAACTTTACTCTTTTCTAACAATTTCAGGAAATCTTACGGTTTGAAAACATTTACTTAAATGCGTGATATTATTGCATATACATTCAGATCAAGTGTATTTGAATGTGATACTTGATTTATGAATGAAAGTGACTTATAATTTCTTCATGTACCTGTGTAATATTAAAATTGTTTGTGTTTAGAAAACATAAATCGAATGCCAAGAAAAAGAAATAGTATTCAGCATACGTATTAAACCAAAGCTGAACAGATAAAACGGTACAATGTTTATGATGCTGAAATATTTCTTTCAAAAGCTATTTTGCATAATATATTTTCAGACAATGTTGTACTCCCTACAACCAAAGTGCGACTACTTCATCTCGATCTTGTTTTCAAAAATATGTAATGTTGTCACTTTTTAAACACAATCTTCTTATAACATATATTGCTCACATCAGCTTCTCCAAAAAATGAATCTTTAATTGGCATTTAATTGGTTCTTGGTTCTGTTCCTCAAGAATATCCAAATGATCTCATTAAAAGTGACTGCTTTTGAGTATTTATCGAACAGTATGCCGTCTTGTTTACGTGCCTTGAAGTTCTATGTTTTGTTATTTATTTATTTTATTTTGAGATTAATTGTGTGTGTTGTTTACAATTTAGATACATGGCTCAAGTGTATGTAATCTAATGAAATTTCAGTTGACAGTTATGCATTGGTATTATAACATGTTTTGTAGTACCTGTGAAAATACACATTTTTAATCATTTTGATGTCTTGGTATTTTCACTTTTGAGTAGTAGGTAAGTATAGGTATTTTTTATCCCCCATGAATATTTTCTTTATACAATATACAACTTTATTACTTTTGTCTGTCTTTGTGGAAGTCTTTGCTGTTAGATAAACTCTAATCAATTTCACTGCTCCACTTTGTGGATTCATGTGCTATATATATAAATAAGAAAATGTTTTTGACAGTGATATTCTATTATGGTGCATATTAAAAGCATTAGTTATAGATTACACGTAATGCATGTTTTTTGT